GGCATGGCGCCGCGCGCGCGAATCGCCGTGTACAAGGTCTTCTGGACGCAAAAAGACGGCTCGCTCATTGCAGAGCAAGCGGACATCGAAGCAGCGGTGAATCAAGCCGTGGAGGATGGCGTTGATGTGCTCAGCATGTCGTATGTCAGTGATGTAGGCACAAGCTACTTTGACGACCGGATCTACCTCCGCGCGAATCAGGTCGGCGTCGTGCCGATTTTCGCCGCTGGGAATGCAGGCCCCCCGCCCGGCTACTCGGCGTACCGCACTCTGTATAATTACTCACCATGGTACCTCACTGTGGGGGCTGGCAACCTGGCGCAGCAATACCAGACGCAGATTACCCTCGGAAACAAGGCGGTGGTTCTAGGTGCTGGCCTTGGCGGTAATGCAGTAACCGCCAAGGGACTCCCGTTGATCGACGGCCGGTCTGCACCTGGGGACGTGGCGAGCCTAGACGAAGCAGAGCTGTGCTTTCCAGGCTGCCTGGACCCGGCTAAAGTAGCTGGCAAGATTGTGATGTGCTTGCGAGGCGGAGTGTATTTGTTCGAGAAGGCTCGCGTGGTGGCGGCGGCGGGCGGCCTGGGGGTTATTTTTGTGAATGACCCTACTGGGAGCTCGGACGTTTATTCGTCAGTGTCAGAGGCCACAATTCCCACGGTGCATCTGACAGTTGCGCAGGGTGCAGTAATCCGGACATACATCAAGAAGACGAAGCAGTAAGTGGTGATGATGGTTGCTGGCCTGTGTGGCAGTGGTTTCAGTGCTTTGCGCATGAGTGGGACAAGAAGCTGGGAGAAAGAGGCTGGAGAGCTAGGTCTGGATTTGGATCAGAGAACTTTATACTTGTTTGAATTCCCTCGCTTTGGGTTCCCTGCAGGTGCGCCCTGCTGTGATCCACCAGCTTCAGGCTCACTTTTTTCCTCCTGTGCTCCCGCGCTCTTCTGCTGTGTGTCACCCACTCAGGCCTACAGCAGCCATGGCAGCTGACTGTGTATTCGGCAAGTCTACCATTTCCCCGCCCGCTGTAGCAGCCTTCTCCTCTACAGGCCCTCCGCTAGACCCCATGGCTGACTCCGTCCCGGGAGGCCCCATCAACGATATCCTAAAGCCGGACATCCTCAGTCCAGGTGTCGAGCTCTGGTCGGCAGTAGCCGGTGATATCAACGACAAAATGAAGCCAGCGTTTGATCTCCTCTCGGGAACCTCTATGGCCACGCCGCTTGTTGCGGGGGTAGCTGCGCTGCTCGTGCAGAAATTCCCCACGTGGACGCCCGCGCAGGTCATGTCTGCGATACAGACGACTGCGAACCCGAATAACGACGCCGGGAAGCCGATCACGACAGACAAGGGGGTGGTCGCAACGCCCTGGGAAATGGGAGCGGGGACAGTGAGTGCTGCGAGGCTGGTTGATCCTGGGCTCACGTATAATGCGGGACTGCAGGACTACATGAATTTTCTGGCCGGGCAAAGCAAGTATAGGACCTCGGTGTTGTGGCCTAAGGAGGTGGTGACTCCCACTCCCGCATACAATTTGAACCTTCCGGGGTTAGTGTTTTCTCGGGTGAACGGCACACGGGTTGCCGTAAGGACGGTGATCAATGTTGCGACAAGTGCGTCGACGTATAAAGCCAAGGTGGTACTCCCTGCTGGGGTACAAGTTACCGTTACTCCAAGCCAGTTCTCTGTGAACCCTGGAGAATCCAAGACGTTCACAGTGGCTGTGTTGATTGTCAAGCCTTCCACAAAGTTTGCCTTTGGCAGCTTGACATGGGAGGATGAGTTAGGGCACAAGGTGCGTTCTGTGCTGGCTGTGCAATCACGTATGGTGCTGAAGAAAAAGTAGGATGTGTTGCTTTGACTAGTTTGTAGTACCCAAAGCTTGTATTATATATTCAATATATTTATTCAAAAGCTTGTAGTTATTGCGATATAATGAGAAGTGATACTGTGTACTCAGGTGACATTTGAGCACCAAGGCCACCTGAGCCTCAAGGCCTCAGAGGGTCGGCTCCAGGCTGGCAAATTTCACCTGACATGACAGCTGGGAGGCTGGTGGCGGCGGCGCGGCCTGGCTGTGAAGGTACTGTATCAATTCAACGCAGGACTGGCTGAAGCAGAGCAGCCTTTTCGTCCCCTCCCCACACACACACACGTGTACAGTCGCTTACCGTACGGAACTGTAAAACACGTGGTGTACGCGACTTTTATAATTTATTTATCCGTGAAGATAGCGTTTTGGGGTGGGGAGTAATAGGAGGACTACACCTCACCGCAACGTCCATTTCTTCCCAGCTGAAAAAGAATGGCTGGGCTGACCAGAAACAGAGAGGGGGAAGAGAGTGAAGTGTGGCTGAGAGGGGGAAAGGAAATGCAGAAAATGACAATACTGAAAGCGACAGGACGAGTAGGCGGGGGAAAGGGGGCTGGTACTGTAGGGCGGAGGCGCAGGAAGAAAAGCAGGTTCAACTGGGGACGAAGCTGCAATTCGCTGCAACCGTCTACAAATAACACGTGTACGTCGAATTTGGGTTCGGTTGGGTTGGGTTCGGTTGAGCGTTCAATTGCGTTTTTGGCGAAGATCCTCGGGTTGGGGGGAAGTGTGGGGAGTGGGGGGCGTGGGGGGAGTTCGGGGAGGGAGGGGATGTGGGAGGGGGGAATATGGCAGGAGGGTTGGGTGGGTTGGGGGACGGAGGGCAGGCGGTAGGGAAGGGGAATGAAATGGTTTGTCATGCCAGCTGCAACCTGCTGGAGGCCGCACCGCAGGCAACACATCTGTTTTTGGTGCAATCCACATGGCTATATATCTGTCTGGTCTAGACTGAGGGTGGCGGGAGGAGAGGAAAGGAGAGGAGAGGAGAGGAGAGGAGAGGAAATGGAAAAGAAGCAGGAGGTACAGCCGAACAGCGCGTGACTCTACGTGGCATGTGCAGCATTCTGCATACGTCACGAAAGATTCTTCCCGCTGATTCTACAGACAGCGTTCTGTGCACAGGAGGACACAGCCTTCGCCATGGGCTTCGCCGCCGCCGCCAGGGCATGGCATGGCACAGCATCAGCTTCTGTCCATAGCTCCACACCGCTGTTTCCCATCCCATCCCTCCTCGCCCGTCCGCGCGCGGTACTCCTCCCGACTCCCCCTCACCCCGCTTCCCACCCCACGCCAATCCTCCGTCAAATGCGGCTGGAAGGCGTCGACCACACCCCTGGTCGTTGTTCAATCCAAGCGTAACAAGACATCCCCTCTATTCGGGTCGCTGCGCTTTAGTGTACATCAAGGAGGGCAGGACCTTTCTCATCGCGTACATCCAACAACTGCCATCCATCCAAGGAAAAGCTGTTCCCTTAGCTGCCTTCCTAAACTGGACAAATTCCCTTAGGACGCGGTAAAAGTGGAGAATCGATCGCCTCAGGATCGTTTTTTAGCACGGTTATAAACGTTTGTGTGCTTTTCGTAAGCCAAACGCAAGGTTTCAGTGCGGTGACCGGATCGATCTCCCCCCGATCGAGCACTTTTACCGCGTCCTTAGCTGCTCCCTTTTCCGATGCCTCGAAGCCATGCTTGTCGGCGATAGCGACTCTGATGGACGTCCGCCAGTCAGCGCACTCGCTCACCTAGTTACCAGTCAGTGCGAAAGCAAGTTTCGTTGAACTCCCCTAAGCATAGCGAACGAAATTCGTCAACCTCCCTCTGCATTTCTCCTTGTCTTACACTTCACCGCCGTACGCCCTTCGTCGCCATTCGTTACTCACCCTCTATTCCCGCGCCGCATCCCCAGCCGATTCACCTCTTCTCGAGCCCGAGCCGCTGCGTCCATTCGTGCTGCTTAACGCTCCGGCTCCCTTATCGCCTCCTTCCATCGACTGCATTGCGTTGCGTCGGCGCTTTTGTTCCATCCGCGCGGTTCCACTCATCTTCCTCTGGATTCGTCCGTCAAATCCGTCCGTTAAATTCGTTTCCTGGGCCAGCCCGATAGGTTCTTAGAATTCGACCTGGAACCGCCCGTCATGGCACCTCCATCGCCGCCGGGCGCGCACCGCTCTCGCCGTCAGGCTCCTTTCCTTGCCTCGCTGCCCCTCCTCCTTCCGCTCCTCCTCGCCTGCTCGCTTGTACGGCTGCGCACCGTTGTATCCCAACAAGGTACCGCCCCCCTTCCCCCTTCCCTTCCCGCTTACCCCTCTTTCTCCCCCCCCCTCTCCCTTTCTCATCCCCATCCCCTTGCATTACCCCGCCGCCGCTCCCCACTTGCATTTTCCGTCCCCATCCCCTTCCCTTCCCCTCCCCGCCCCCCCCCCCCCCCCCCCCCTTGTCCCTTTCTCATCCCCTACCTCTTGCATTACTCCGCCGCCGCTCCCTGCTTGCATTTTCCGTCCCCATTCCCCGCCTGCATTCCCCTTACCTGCCGCCCCTCTCTTCAACCTTCGTACATCCCCTTCCCCTCTTCCGGTTCAGCGTTCCCCCTCCTTCGCCTTGCTCTCATGTCGTAGCCAGCACTCAAGACAACACACATCCCTTTAGTTCCACCTCCTCTTTGTCACCTACCTTCTCGCCTCCTTAACTTCTTTCCCCCTTGCCTCACCTTCTTGGCAGCCTTCGTTGTTCTCAATTCTACGTCACCTCCTTCCCTCCTCCCGTTCCCCGTTCCTTCCATCTTCCCTCCCTCCCTCCCTCCCCGTCACTCGTCCCTCCGCGCACGTTCACCCTCCCAACTTCAGACGATATTATCTCTTTCTCCCCGCCGCAATCCGCGCAATCGTCGTCCTCCACTTACCTCTATAAAGTCTACCTCAACACCGCGCCGCCCGTCTCCCTGTATCGCGGCGGAATCGCCGGCTATCCCGCCACCGCGGGGGTCTCCGACGCGCTCTCGGGCTTCGCGGCGGGGATGCGCGGAGCCGCGCGCCGCGCGCGGCAGCAGATGCGGCGAGGGCCGCTGCGCGACTTCGCCAAGTTTCTCGGACAGGTTCAGAGAAAGGTCGCCGAGGACGTCAAGCTGCCCATGTCAAAAGTACTCTACAGGTGCGGCCCGCGGTGAAAGACTTCAACCCCTATCGTCCGCGGTGGAGGGGTGAAGTCTTTCCCTTTCTCTGCTTAGCTTCTGGGCTGCTCACAGAAAGTCATTCCTTTCCTTTCTCCCGCTATCCTCCTCTGTCTGTGCCCCACGTTCATGAGTCTCCCTCCGTCTTTTCCTACCGCTTACTCCAACTTTCCTTCCTAAATCCCGCTACTCTCCCTTCCGACTCGCACTCCCTTCTCTCACCTTCCCCTCCCCCCCCTCTCCCCCTTCCCATCCCCTCCCCCTCCCCCACTCCTCCTCTTCCCTGTTTCCTTCCCCCTCCCCCTCCCCCGCCCCTTCCCTTTCCGCCTCCCCGTCCTCCTTCCCCTTCCCGTCCCCGTCCCCGTCCCCGTCCCCGTCCCCGTCCCCGTCCCCTTCCCCGTCCCCTTCCCCCACAGCTACAAGTACGTGAGCAACGGCTTCGCGGCGCGGCTGACGCTGTCGCAGGTGCAGCAGCTGCGGCGGCACCCGCAAGTGGCGGCAGTGCGCGCGAGTCGGCGCATAGTAGCGTCCACAACGCACTCGCCCGCGTTCCTCAACCTCCCCGGAACCCTGTGGCCCGCGAATGGCGGCGTGCAGAGCGCGGGGGAGGACGTGATTATTGGAGTGATTGACAGCGGGATCTGGCCCGAACACCCCTCCTTCAGCGACAATGTGAGTGCTGTGCAGGTGCAGTGCGGTGGAATGCGGTGGAGTGGGGCGCGGTGCGGTGCGATGGGGTGATTTGGGGTGTGGTTGGGTGTGGTCTTTGTTGGCGGTGGTGATTCTGGTGGGGTGGAGTGGAGTGTGCTGCTGGGCGCAAGTGTGTGGTTCAGTGTGGTTGGATGCGCCACTGTTTGTCCCCACTCTCCATCCTCCCTCCTGTTCCCTCCTCTCGCATTTCCCTCTACTCTCCCTCCACTCTCCCTCACTCCCCCTCACCCTCACTCGCTTTCTTCCTCCACCCTCCCTCCATTCTCCCCTCACTTCCCCTTCCCCCCCACCCCTCCCCTCACCTCCCCCTCACCTCCCGCTCTCCTCACCCCTCAGGGCACCCAACCATACGCCGCGCCCCCAACGCGGTGGGCGGGGCGGTGCGAGGCGACCAAGGACTTCCGGCAGTGCGGGCGCAAGATCATCGGCGCACGCTTCTTCGCCTGCTGCGGCGTGGACTCCACTGTTGAGTACTGGAGCGCCCGCGACGCCGCTGGTCATGGCTCCTGGTGTGCCGGGTAAGACTAGGGCACCTGGTGCGCCGGGTAAGGTCCTTGAAAGGGAGTGAGGGAGGGAGGGAGGGAGGGAGGGAGGGAGGGAGGAAGGGAGGGGGGAGGGAGGGGGGAAGGGAAGGGGGGATGGGGGGGAAAGGGAGAGAAAGAGGGCGGGAGGGAGTGGCAGAGGGCAACAATTGAGCACCAATTGAGGAAAGTGCCACTCTCATGAGACAAGCATCCCAAAACAAACCTACCCACCCCTCATCCCTCCCTTCTCTGCATCTTCCCTTCCCCTCGCCTCCCACCAGAGCGGCAGCGGGCAACAACGGGGTGTTGGTCACGGGCCCCACCGGCGCCACCTTCGGAGCAGCCAGCGGCATGGCTCCCAGGGCGCGCCTCGCCATCTACAAAGCTCTCTGGAAGAGTGCGGATGGGAGCGCGGCGGGGGAGACGGTTGATATAGAGGCAGCCGTTGATGCTGCTGTGGCGGACGGTGTGGATGTGCTCAGCATGTCGTTTGGTGATCTGGGCATGGAGGCGACTTATTTCAGCGATGGCTCGCTGCTGAATGCGGTGCAGGTGGGTGTGGTGCGGCTGGGTGGGGGGGGCAAGTGGGTGTTTAGGGGTCTGTGTGTGTGTGTGCAGAGTGGAAGGGCTGGGATGTGTGGTGCGTGCATGGGTCGGTGGGTGGATGGGTGGTCGGGGTACCGTGGTGCAGGTGGGTGCGCTGTGGGGTGTGTGGTGTGGGTGCAGTTGAGAAGATTGTGTGGTGTGCCGCGTGCATGGTGCATGACATGGCCGCCTGGGGCGCTGAGGGGGGTGTGTGTGTGGGTGACTCAGGTCAACCTGGTCCGTTAGACGGACTCCGTCTGTACAAGTCGCTCACGCTGTGTCCCATGCTCTTCGCTCTATCACCCCTCCTCCCTTATTCTCCCCTCCTCCTCCACTCATCTCTTTGTTCCTCGTTCTCTCCTTCATTCCTCTCTTACATCTCCTCCACCCCTCCTCCCCTCTTCCTCACTCCCTATCTCCCTCTCTCGCGCTCCTCCGTCCTCTCTCTACCCCTTCTCTCTCCGGCCCCCTATGCGCCCTTCTCCAGGCGAACGTGGTGCTGGTGATGGCGGGGGGCAACGAGGGCCCTCCCCCGACCTACTACAACTACCGCTCGCTCACCAACGTCTCGCCCTTCTACCTCACTGTCGGCGCCAGGTACGCTCCCCTCTCCCCCTCTCCCCCCTCCCCTCTTCCCCGCCTTGCTTGCCCTTCCTCCCCCCTTCTGTTTTATCCCCCTCCTGCTTCACCCCCTTCCCACGCTCTCTCACCAACGGCTCCCCCTTCTTCCTCACTGTTGGCGCCACGCACGTGGACAGTGCAGTGCATGCATACTCCATGCATACACTCAATACATGCATAGAGCGCGTCCAGAAAATGCATCCATGTACTTGTATAATGCATACCATACAGTGCATACATGGAGTGTCCTGTGTACCTACCAACACATATACTTCATGTGTCCAAACCATCCCCCCACTTCTCCCCCACAGCACCATCGGCCGGCAGTACTGCAAGCAGCTGCTGCTGGGGAACGGAGCTGCTGCTGGGGAACGGAGCGGTGATCAAGGGCGTGGGCGTGGGCGTGTTCTCTCTTCCCCACTCACAACCTTACTCACTCCCCCTCCCGTCTCTACCTTACCCATCCGTCTCCCCCCCACCCCCACAGCACCATAGGCCGGCAGTACCGCACGCAGCTGCTGCTGGGGAACGGAGTGGCGATCAATGGCGTGGGCGTGGGGGGCACGGCGGAGACAGCAGCAGGGCTGGGGATCATCTCAGGCGGACAAGCCATGGTGGATGGGGGAGACGTGGGCAAGGTGAGGGGCAAGGGGGGCGTGAGTGGGAAAACGGAGAATGCGCGAGTGAGTGAGTGGCGGGATCAGAATGTGCGACAGTAGAGTGTTTAGACGCAACAATGCAGCACCATGGTAAAGTAGCTAACAGGATTGCCTTCATGTGCTGCTGCCCCTGCCCCCGCCACAGCGTCACCACCATCCATCCTCTAACTCCACCCCTTCCATCCCTCCACCCCTTCTGACGCCCCATCTCCCTCCCTACCTGCCCCTCCCTCACCCGCCCCCCACTTCTGATCCCCCAACAGGCGCAGCAGTGTTTCGACACAATGCTGGACCCCGCCAAAGTCGCCAACAAAGTAGTCGTGTGCGACCGCGGAGTCACCTCCATCCTCTCCAAGGTCTCCGTCGTGGCCTCGCTGGGCGGCAAGGCCATGGTGCTGGCGAACGTGGCGGGCAGCCCCACGACCACGGTGGAGCTGGTGGAGGGGGCCACCATCCCCACTCTCCATGTTTCGCTCGAGCAGGCGGGGGATATCATGGATTACCTTGACAGCGATCCCAGGTGAGGATTGGGGAGGGTGGCGGTGGCGGGAAGGGAGTGCCTAAAGGCAGCCTGATACTCGCTGCTTGGGGGGGCTTGGGGGAAAGAGAGTGTGTGTGCAGCGGGGGAGTAGGGGAGAGGGGGTTCACGATGGTGCTGGCGAACGTGGCGGGCAGCCCCACGACCACGGTGGAGCTGGTGGAGGGGGCCACCATCCCCACTCTGCATGTGTCTCTGGAGCAGGCTGGGGCCATCATGGATTACCTTCTAGCCGACCCCAGGCGAGAGGGCTGGAGGGGAAGGAGAGGGGGTTGTACGGGGTGCCAGGGGGGAAGGGAGGTGGGATTGGGGAGAGAAGGGGAGTAGGTGTGCAGGTGTGTGTGTGTGTGTGTGTGTGTGTGTGTGTGTGTGTGTGTGTGTGTGTGTGCAGGTGTGTGTATGTGTGTGTGTGCAGGTGTGTGTGTGTGTGTGTGTGCAGGTGTGTATGTGTGTGTGTGCAGGTGTGTGTGTGTGTGTGTGCGCGCGTGCGCGCGAGCATGGGGGGGGAGGGGGTGCCGGGAGAGGGAACTGTAGAAACCGAGCCACCACCACCAGCAGTTTTTTTTCTGTGTTTTTCCAACGCCTCAACTCTTCCCTCCCCTCCCCTCCCCTCCCCTCCCCTCCCCTCCCCTCCCCTCCCCTCCCCTCCCCTCCCCTCCCCTCCCCTCCCCTCCCCTCCCCTCCCCTCCCCTCCCCTCCCCTCCCCTCCCTCCCTCCCCCATCGACTCTCTGTTATGATTCCCCAACCCGACCCACCACCCAGCCCGACAGCCACACTAGAGCCGGCAGTGACAGCCGCGCCGGCGCCCGCAGTGGCCTACTTCTCCTCCTCAAGCCCGGTAGCCGAGCCCTCCTCAACGCCAGTGTTCTCCTCTCCTCTCTTAAGTCTCTGCCAGGGTTTTCCCTCCTCTCTTGTGTTTTTATAGGCGGCTCAACCCTCCTCTCTCTCCTCCTTCCCTCCCTCCCCCCCCTTCCCTCCAATACCCTCCCCCAGCCCCACAGCCACTCTAGCAGTGGCAGCGGAGCCGGCAGTGACAGCCGCGCCGGCGCCCGCAGTGGCCTACTTCTCCTCCACGGGTCCGGTGGCGGAGCCCTCGTCCACGCCGCGCAAGCCCTACCCCACCAACGACATCCTGAAGCCAGACATCATCGCCCCGGGCTCCAACCTCTGGGCCGCTTCCGCCGGCGCCAGCCTGGCGACCAAATCCATTCCGGTGTTTTCCCTCCTCTCGGGAACATCCATGGCTACGCCTCACGTGGCGGGGATCGCAGCGCTGATTGTCCAGGCGCACCCAGAGTGGTCTCCCGCGCAGGTCATGTCGGCCATTCTCACCACGGCCAGCACAAGCAACACCGCGGGAGGCCCGATTCTCAACAGCATCGGCCAGCCGGCTACCCCGTGGGATATGGGCGCTGGGCACGTGAATCCTGCGGGGGTGCTCGACCCGGGGTTGACGTTCGACGCGAGCTACACGGATTACCTTTCCTTTCTCAGCGGGCAGGGAGGGAAGGTTTCGATGAAGAGTCTGGGACTGGGTAAGGCGGCCCCCAAGGGGTTAAAAGCGATCGCAGGGTATAACCTCAACCGCCCGACAATCTCCGTCTCACGCCTGCAGAAAACGGTTACGGTGATTCGTTTCGTGAAGAACGTTGCCGGTGTGAGCTCGACGTATACTGCTCGGGTGGTCCCCCCGGCGAATGTGAAGGTGGTGGTTAAGCCGCTGGTGCTGGTGGTGGGAGCAGGCAAGACGGCGAATTTCACCGTGCAGTTTACTGTGACGAAGGCATCGCAGGAGTTTTCGTTCGGGAGCTTGTTTTGGGAGGATGGGGCCGGGCACGTGGTGCGGTCGGTCCTTGCCGTGCAGCCGATTAAGAAGTAGAGCCGGGCTGGTGGGGTGGTGAGGTGAGCTGTAGAGTGATTTGAGACGGCTGGACGATTCGGAATGGCTACAATCAGCAAAGCAAGTGGTTTGGTCGGGGCGTGCAGCAGCAGATTTGGACCCTGATTTGAGGTTGAGGGAGTGGAGGAGGGTGTTGTTGAACCATGAAGTGTAAACAGCAACAGCTGTACTGTATGGGTGTGTTGGGCCGAGTGCTTGCTGCCAAGGAGGGAACTGGGAGGAGCGGGGGAGAGGTGGGGGGTGCGAGGGAGGGGAAGGGGGTACCATATGAAGGAGGTCCGGGACGGGACAGCTCAATCGTTGCTGATGCTGCTGCGCTTCACTATTGCTTTCTGCTGCAACTCCCATACTCCCATACTCCTCAACTCCGGCTTTCAGTCCGGTCAGGACTCCCCTGCTGTTTACTTCAGGCAGGCTCCATACCTACTCCTCCTGACTCACATCACAGCCACTTTGTTTTCGCAGGATCATACAGCACCAGGTACTAATTTTCACAGGATTCACCGGAGATTGTCCTGCCTGTTTCACAGCATGAGTGTCAGAATCCACGATTGCTGTGAACTTGCAGGTGTATAATAGCCTCTTGCTAGTTTTTGTTTCTGATCCTGATTCTGGTTTATTGCTCCTCCAATGGTTTCGTGGCTGCATCACGAACTGCTGCTGCTGATTTTTTTATTTGATTTTATTTGTTTTGCACCTGGTACGTACCAGTTTCGATGCATGTGGTTCTTCTTGCATTTTACTTGGGAGGCACAGACCTACTGCAGACCAGGAATACGGTACCGTCACAACATACCGGTACCGGTAGAACACACACTGGGCAAATGCAGTTGTTATGTGACATGACAAGGGTACAGGTACCGGTTGTTGGAAACAATCGGTCCTAAGCGCTTCTGTCGTATCGAAACACTAATACACAAGTGAAGCAACGCATATCGAGGCACCAGCGAGTCAACCCTCGGAGGTTGAAGTAACAGCTGGAGGTTACGCGAAGGTCAAAGGTCAACAACCTTTGACTTGACAAATGCAGCGCGACAGCAAGGACACACAACTGACTCGATATTGAGCAGTTGCCCGAGTCGCACTGTATCGAACCGCAAATAGTAAAACAGTTATCATTCGTATCTCTTCGTATTCCTTGTAATCTTATATAAAATCTTGTATCTCTTTGTTTTTATCAACTTACTTTGCCCTCACATACCAGCGCAAGGTGGTTCAAGGACTTCATTTAAACGCTTCCGCTACTACATCACTTTACTCTAAGTTAAACCCTACCAAAGATCCTAAGGGGCACCCAGCCCAACATGGTATGAGAGCTGGTTAGGGTTAAAATTATTTCTCCTTAAACACCTAATACACCAAGAGACATGTCTACCAAGAAGGAGAGGAGCTCCTCCAACGGCTCTTCTGGTACTACCCCTACTCCACCTCCTGCCTCTGGCCTACAGAAAGAGGAAGGCACAACAACGAGACCGGCAGCTGGGTCTACTGAAACACCCGCAAACCAAGGCGCGGGTTTCGATCCAAACATGATGGAGAAGTTCTTCTCCTTCATGTCCTTCTACGAGCAGCATCAGCAAGGAGCACCTGCGCAATCAAACAACAGCAACAACAACAACAACGTGACGCCCATGAGTCTCGATGGCTCATCCTACGCACGCGGGAATCAACAACAGCAACCTACCTTCGCTCCGTACGAGCCCCAGCGCGGCTCCGTCAGCTTCATGCCACAACCACAACCTGCACCGGGACAAGAGAGAACGTTGGACGCACTACAAGTTCAGTCGCAGTTCGCACACGTTCTGAAGATGCAGGCGTCAAAACCCTTTGATGGAAAGGACTTCTTCACCTGGTCGTTCGAGTTTGAGCTGATGATGGAAGGCGCGTAGATACTCGGGTTCTTCGACGGGTCTCTGCCATATCCAACAAACGGCACACAGTACGAGAAGCAGCAGTACACCTATCAGTCAATGATGGCGTACTTGATCCTATTGAGGAACATCACCCCGACTCAACAGCAGAACATAAGGACTTACCGAGGTTACGGCAACTCCGCGGAGCTCGCGTACAACTACCTGAAGAGCTTGTATCAAGCAACAGACAGCGTAAGTCAAAGTCGGTTAATGGCGCAACTGACAACGGTTGAAATGAAACCAGGGGAAAAAGGAATGGCGTATATCAGTCGATGTCGCGAGTTGCGCGACAAGCTTCTTCGATGCGGAGGGTCGATTTCTGAAGATGCCTTCGTGACAGTCATCATTGGCGGTCTCGGTCCTCAATGGCGAGCCACAAAGGTGTGAAAATCAACGAGAATGAATGCACTATGAAAGTGTTGGGTACAACTACTAACCCTAATTGGGTTGTACCCCATATAGGCTACCCCACTACAGCCTACACAAAAGCATAAGCTATACTGTTCTAACACACCCCCATAGGTAAAGTGGGGGAGTACAAGGGGTCACAAGACCAGTCAAGCAAAGCAAAGCAAAGCAAGCTCAGGGTGGATCACAAAGTCACCACACATTCCGAGCACAAGGTCAAGGCCACAAGGCCAGTTCACATGCAGGAGTACATATATATATAAGGCTAGACAATCAAGAGCAGGTATATATATATATATATATATATATATATATATATATATATATATGTAACAGTACAAGCAAGGTCAAGAGGTGAGCAAGTGAGGCAAGGCAGGCACAAGACCCAGCTGAGTACAGAAGCGCTGATCATCACAAGGCGCAAGCGCCTTGGTGAAGATATCAGCAGTGTTGGCCTCAGAGGCCACGTACGCAAGACGCAGCTGACCACGCTGCTGCAGCTCACGAGCAAGGAAGTAGCGGAGAGCAATGTGCTTCGTTCTGTGCTCCAGTCTCTGCTCTCGACACAGGGCCAGCATGGCCTTGTTGTCTACGTACAGCACTGGAGGAGAACGAGGCGGCTCTCCGAGGTCAGTCAGCAGGTAGGTGAGCCAGCGAAGCTCCTGTGCAGCCATGGCCCCGGCGTAGATCTCAGCCTCACAACTGGAGCCGAGAACAGAAGACGAGCGGGTAGCCCGCCACGAAACAGAGCCGGAACCAAGGCTGAAGGTGTAACCCTGTGACGACCGCTGAGTAGCCTGGTCGTCAGCCCAAGAAGCGTCTGTGTGCCCAGTGAGGACCACTGGACTCTGCCCTCCAAGCACAAGCCCCATGCCTGACGTACTGCACAAGTAGTGCAACACCCTCTTCGCTGCAGCCATGTGCTCCGGTCTGTGTCTCCCAGGAGCAACATAGCGTGCGAGAATGCTAAGAGGGTATGCAAGGTCAGGTCGAGTGCAGGTCATCAGGTACATGAGGCAGCCAACAAGCTCTGGGTACGGGCCACTCGACTCTACGGACTCATCCGAAGGCAGAGCTGAGAGCGAGTGGCGAGTAGGCAGAGGAGTGGCCTGAGGCGAGGAGTACGTGAAGCCGAAGCGTTGAAGGACCTGCTGCACCATGTGTGACTGAGTCAGGGTAATGGTGCGGCGTGCTTTGTCCCGGGTGATCTGCAAGCCAAGGTAACTGCGCAGTTCACCCAGGTCTGTGCACGTGTGTCTCTTTTGCAGCTCGGACTTCACGTGGGCGAGTCCAGCAGTGTCAGCTGTGGCAAAGACCAAGTCGTCGACGTACACGAGGATGTAGAACGGCGGCAAAGAAGTGTCGGTGCGCAGAAACAGCGACGGGTCGGCAGTAGAGGGAGCAAATCCAAGAGCCGCAAGTGTAGTCCTCAGTTTGTCGTGCCACTCACGCAGTGCTTGGCGGAGACCGTAGACTGGCCGCCGGAGGCTCCACTGGGTGCCAGGAGGAAAAGACCCAGTGAAGCTAGGTGGGCGGCGCAGCCAGATCTCCTCGTGCAGGCTGCCCTGCAGGAAAGCTGTGCTGAAGTCAAGAGAGTGAAGCTCGTACTCACGATGAGCAGCTATGTGCAGCAGTACTCAAAGAGTGGTCATCTTCGGGGTGGGAGAGAAGGTCTGAAAGTAGTCAACTCCCTGCCGCTGACTGAAGCCACGAGCCACGTAACGCGCCTTGAAGACAGGCGGAGAACCCGGCGGCCGCTTCACCCTGAAAATCCACATGCCACTGACAATGTTCGCCCCAGGCGGGGGAACCTCGTCAACGTAGGTGCCTGTGGACTTCCAGGAAGCCATCTCTGCGTCCATAGCTGCTTGCCACGGAGAGGAGTAGGGACCCTCTATCGCCTCCGCGTAAGAGCGCGGAGTCGGGATGTCAAGTGCATCCGGGTCTCCCTCAGGGGTAAGCAGTACGGACACGAGACGAGGTGAAGCAGCAGCCAGACACTGGAACTCCTCCTGCCTGTCCTCAAGGACGTCCGTGCCAAGGGCACACTCACCCCTGATGGACGGAGGACAGACAGACTCAGACTCAGCAACAAGACTGGCGGCGTAGTCTAGGCGACAGCGAGCAGCAAAGTCGACGAGCTCAGCAACTAGGGCAGACGCAGCAGTGGACTCAAAGGAAGGGTCACTGACAAAAGTAGCAAGGAGACGCGTGACAGTAGGACTGGCAGCACGAAGAGAGTCCGACTCCGGGTCGGCAAGAGCAGGAAGAGAAGACTCAGGAGGAGAAGGCAAAGGGGCACGCAGAGGAGCAGTGGACGGACGCAGAGACATCCGGTGCGTGCCAGGGACAAGAGGAGGACGCTGACGCGAACCGCGACCACTAGTGCGAGCAGCACGGACAGGCAACGCAGGGCGAGACGCAGGCTCATGATGCTCAGCAAGACCTCTAGTAGGACCAGTGTAGGGAGACGGAGCAGGCAGTGGGGAGGCCGGCCGTAACTGTAACTGTGACGGGACAGGCTGTGGACACTCGAAGGGAGGAGGAGGACCAGTAGAAGGCGGGAGACCAAGAACCTGCTCAAGGAGCGGAACGAAGTACGGCCGAGGCCGCGCGCGACACCAGACACAGCAGGGACAGCACCAGTACCCCCAGCGG